TTTTCCTTCTAGATCCCACGGAGAACGATCAGAGTGCAGAAGCCAAGGGCAGGTGGGCTTGGCACAGAGAAGGCCACATCCTTCTCTGACTGTAACTTGGTCATTCAGTGGGCTGTGGTGACCAGACCTAACTCATGACCTGACGTCACGATTGGCGCCAGTAGGCTTACACAATCATTGCCATTGGTCACCATACCAGACATGGGACCTCACACACTTGCAAGTCCTGTCAGGCAATCTGCGTAGCGCGTGCCCTGAAGCCATGTGCAATCCCTCAGGAACTTCTCAACGGGGAACGCGCGCTTTCGCTTTCGTAGGGGCTGTTTCTTCTACATAGCAAACAATAAAGGCCCATCTAAAAATAATCAAACCCGACTTAACATTATCGCTGCTCTCTGTGTCATAATCAAACAAGAATGAAAGAAATCTTAATAGGATCGCAGGCAGGTCTTGTGTTCCTTAATCATGTATTAGAGCCTTAGTCAAAACCAGGCTTACGGTGGCTCAGAAACACGGCCCTTTCTTTTCAGGAAAAGTGAAACTAAAGCTGGACTGAACGACGGCCACTGAACTTGGCTCCCATTCCCACCCAAGTCCTGTCCCAGTCCTCCCCACTCTGCAGAGCCTAGACTGAGCTCTTTCCCCACCTCCAGACTCTAAAGCGCACCCCCTCCTCTGAGTCCTCCCAGCTTGAACAACTCCACCCAGAATGTACAGTCTCAAAGCTGTTTGCTATGGAAGTCAGTATAACTCCCCACCCCCATCCCTTATTTATTTTACATCAAAATTCGACTAGTTTCTTTTCTTTTCTTTTTTTTAAACATCTTTATCGGAGTATAATTGCTTTACAATGGTGTTAGTTTCTGCTGTATAACAAAGTGAATCAGCTATACATATACATACATCCCCATATCTCCTCCCTCTTGCGTCTCCCTCCCACCCTCCCTATCCCACCCCTCTAGGTGGTCACAAAGCACCGAGCTGATCTCCCTGTGCTATGTGGCTGCTTCCCACTAGCTATCAGTTTTACATTTGGTAGTGTATCTATGTCCATGCCACCCTCTCACTTCGTGTCCCAGCTTACCCTTCCCCCTCCCCGTGTCCTCAAGTCCATTCTCTACATCTGCATCTTTATTCATGTCCTGCCCCTAGGTTTTTCAGAACGATTTTTTTTTTTTTTTAGATTCCATATATATGTGTTAGCATATGGTATTTGTTTTTCTCTTTCTGACTTACTTCGCTCTGTATGACAGACTCTAGGTCCATCCACCTCACTACAAATAATTTTGTTTCTTTTTATGACTGAGTAATATTCCACTGTATATATGTGCCACATCCTCTTTATCCGTTCATCTGCCAATGGACACTTAGGTTGCTTCCGTGTCCTGGTTATTGTGGTACATGACTCTTTTGGAACTATGGTTTTCTCAAGGTATATGCCCAGTAGTGGGATTGTGGGGTCATGTGGTAATTCTATTTCTGGTTTCTTAAGGAACCTCCATACTGTTCTCCATAGTGGCTGTATCAATTTACATTCCCACCAACACTGCAAGAGGGTTCTCTTTTCTCCACACCTTCTCCAGCATTTATTGTTTCTAGATTTTTTGATGATGGCCATTCTGACCGGTGTGAGGTGATACCTCATTGTAGTTCTGATTTGCATTTCTCTAATGATTAGTGACGTTGAGCATCCTTTCATGTGTTTGTTGGCAGTCTGTATATCTTCTTTGGAGAAATGTCTATTTAGGTCTTCTGCCCATTTTTGGATTGCGTTGTTTGTGTGCTTGATACTGAGCTGCATGAGCTGCTGGTAAATTTTTGAGATTAATCCTTCGTCAGTTGCTTCATTTGCAAATATGTTCTCCCATTCTGAGGGCTGTCTTTTCGTCTTGTTTATGTTTTCCTTTGCTGTGCAAAAAGTTTTAAGCCCCATCCCTTATTGAGTAAACTCCTCCACTTGAGAATCACCTTCGTTTTTGCTGATAACTCCATACCCAGCACCTACCTCAGAGTCAGGTGAACAACAGCTCCTTTTTAAAAACATGATGACTGGTTGCCATAGGAAAAGCCGCATTTTCTGACGGTTAAGCTGGGGGGTTATGATTCCTCATAAGATTCCTTTCTAGTAAGCAGAGGTCCTTCAGCGAGGTTAAAATATGATTTGCTTTAGAAAAATTAGATGAGCATACATCCGTCACGTAAAGTGAGATGTGCCATGTTCTACTGAGCAACGGTGGTCTGGGACTTGCTCCTGTAACTGTCGCTACCTGACACTGGCCTGAGAAAAGAGTTAGCAAATCTCTGAACTTCAGAGGAGAGTCCCTTCTCTCCCCAACCTCACCCTCTACCACCCAGACACCGATCTCCAGGTCAGTTTGGTCACTGTTCTGCCGTAAAGGAAACTCATGGTGTTGTATGATGCCATCTTGTGCTCCAAGAGCAGCCACACAATGAGGACCCTCAGCCGATTCTAACCACACAGAAGAGAACACTGATGACACTGAAGACATCGTTCCTGCTCCCTCACTCGTTCACCAAGAGGGCAGGGAAGCAGAGCCTCCGCTCTGGCTCTCCAGGCCCACCATGTACAGGGGGTTCACAGGGTCCCTACAACTGGACTGGACCCCTCCTGGGATGTCAGACCTCTTGGCAACACATCCAAAGAAAGCAAGCTCGTGTGGATGCCTGCCTAGGAAACCAGCTCAGAGGGTGAAAGAGATGGCACAGCTGCTAGACGCAGGGGAAGAGGGGGGTCTCCCCACAGAGGGGATACAACGTGATGTCAGAGCAAGTCCCCACTGGACTGGGAGTCGCAGAGATGAGACGGTAAGTTCGACTTGGTCAATACCAAGTATCTGTGGGCAAAAGACTTATTTCTCTGAAATCTGATTTTCTCATTGGTGCAAAAAGATTAGAAGAGAGAATTAAAAAAAAATCTTCCAACCCTCCAATTCTGAGAGTGACAACCTACCGGTTGTGGGGCCCTCTGACAGGTACCATGGAAGATAAAGAGATATAGGATACATTTCTCATTAATCCAGGATCATGCTCATGTGGAGAAAAGAGGAAAGTTGACCTCGTGACTGACCCTCTATTGTCACACTGGATTCTGCACGTGTACACATACACACACATGCACGGACCCACAAATATCAGGCAATACATATTATCTATCCTTGTTTTGGATGCGTGTTAAGTCCTATACCTGTTCAGAAAAGGGATTTCCAGATTTTCAGGAGATATTTCATACTCTCCTGAGAGATTTCAGAGGGTTAGGAAAAATTTCATTTGATCAGTGCTTGGAATGGGTAGTGACGGTGAGGTAAAGCTTGGGATCACATCATTGGGAAATAGTAGATTAAGTAATATATATATATTTTCCATTGCAGGTCTCCTCAGCAACTCTGACAAGCAAATGTATGTTGAGACACTCTAAGAGAGGTCAAGACTGCAGTGTCCCAAACTATGGGCCACAGAGTCTTTCATTCTTTTTTTTTTTTTTTTTTAACATCTGTATTGGAGTATAATTGCTTTACAATGTTGTGTTAGTTTCTGCTGTATAACAAAGTAAATCAGCTATACGTATACATATGTCCCCATATCCCCTCCCTCTTGTGCCTCCCTCCCACCCTCCCTACCCCACCCCACTAGGTGGTCCCAAAGCACTGAGCCAATCTCCCCATGCGATGCAGCTGCTTCCCACTAGCTAGCTATTTTACATTTGGTCGTGTATATATGTCAATGCTACTCTCTCACTTCGTCCCTTTTATTCTGATAAGTTTCTCAAGTGAGGAAGGTTCAGAGAAATACCCTTTGGGAAATAGTGTACCAAAGAGACTGTAAATTCCCTGAGGTCAGGGACTGGGCCTTGCTTACCACGACCTCTCCAGCACCTGGCACGACACTGGGCACATGGAAAGGATTCAGTAAAATATAATAAAATAAAAATTGGCCAAATGACCAGATGAGTAATTGCTGAATTCCAAGTGGCAAGACTGGCATTCGCAACGACACGGTGGCGAGAGTATATGCCAAGGAGCAGGGAACCATCTGTCCAAGGTGGCACCCGTCACTGTCTGGGCTCCAGATGGATACGGGTAAGCCTTTCGGGTGAGGCTGCCTTTGCCTCCTCAAGGAGCCACGGGCTACAAATCCTTAAGGCATCCTGAAAGACTTTCACTCATTTTATTCCCCAAAATGGGGTAATAAAAGAGCTTCATGAAGAATTCTCTACTAAGGATAAGTAACAAATGAGTTAAGGCTACTCATCGGTCAGACTCCATAATGTACTTACAGATTATTTTCGTTTCTTTACTGCCACCTTCTGGTCCCCAGGCACCTACTTGGTAGTTTTGAAATGCTACCTTATATTTGTGGTTCACGACGGCATCCTTTTTTTTCTTTGGCAGGCCACACCGCTTGCGGGATCTTAGTTCCCAGACCAGAGATCGAACCCCGGGCCGGCAGTGAAAGCGTCGAAGCCTAACCACTGGACTGCCAGGGAATTCCCCACGATGGCATTTTAAGCACTTGTTCACATCCTTTACCTCATATGACATTACACAGGTTAGATGTGGTTCGGGTGGCCTTTACTCTTTTCTCATTTGATCCGAAGGCCATAAAGAACTTAAGGGATTTGCCTAGTGACCGAAAGGTAGGAGCTGAGAAAGGACTAACCATGCCTGTTGTTTTCTCCAAGGAGCAAACACCGGGGTTAGTCATCCGGCTTTGTCCAGCTACATTTGCAAAGACTTCTATCGCCCTCTCACCCCTTCACGAGCACAACCTTGCATGGAAAATCCCTTGCCCTTAAAAAAGAGAATACTGTTCAAATATACCTTGATCTTTTCAAGGGTAAAATCCATTCCACTTTACAGGGTCTCTGAGAAAAGAATATAGGGGATCTATGATGGATTTTTTTTTATCTGACAGTCAAGATACCATAGTGTCCTACAGCACAACCCCGAGATGGAGGTCCGCCAGCTTCTTCTGAAACATACCTTGGTCTGGAAGCAGCAGTAGAGCTGGGTTAGGTACGGGTGTTTCCGCGCCAGAGCCAGAATCCTCTTCTCTGTCATCGTGCAGTCTACGTCATCGTCCTGAAGGATGACATCCTTCTTTAGGACCTTCACAGCATACACTTCATCTTTGCCTTTGCGCTCCGCCAACATGACCTGTAATCAACCAACACCACCCCGTAAGTCTACGCTTGTAGGGAATCAAAAGAAACCCAAGTCAACAGCAAATGCTTTAAAAACTCCTTCTTTTTCCCTTTAATTTAAAATAGCATAATAGTATTTAAAATGTAAAGACTACCCATCCTAGTACAGCTACTACAATTTATTTATTTTTAATCTCTAACAGTGTCCAGGCAAAGAAAAGTTCAATGCACATCTATTAAATAATTACTCGTATGTTCATATAATTTGTCGCACTTGCAATTAGAGTACAGCAAATACATTTTATTTAACTGAACATTATTTCATAAGCATTTCTCGACGTGGTCTCCACCATATCATAGTTGCTGATACTCAATTCAAGTACATCAGTAACAGTTTAACCATTTACCTCATATTAGACACTTGAGTTACATCTAATTATTATTATATAAACTGCATCAAGCGCTTTTATACACATAATTTTTTCTTTCTTTCATATCACAGTTTTAAGATGGAAAGCCTTAGAAGTGGATTATAGAGTTAAGTATTTTGCACATTTCCTAACTGACTTTCAAAGAGGATGTGCAATGTAATCTGCCACTAGCAATGCAGAAGTGCTTTAGTTTCATGCAAATTTACCAACAGTGGGTGCTTTCACTTACAAAACGTTTTTGCTCATGTCATGGGTGTGAAATGTTACCTCAATGCTGTTTTAACTGGTAATGAAACTAAAAATTTTTTTTTCTAATTATATTTACTTTTTGTGCGAATTATTTGTCAATTTCCTCCGTCTAGTTATCTATTTTTCTACACATCTGTATGGGCTTGGTATATAAAGTTACTACCACTTTACTTTTTGCAAATGTTTTTCTAAGACTGTTTTATGATTTTCTGTCATTTTTTTCTATTGGACAGGGTCCCCTGTCTTATGTAGTCGAATCTGTCCTTGTTTACCTTTATGGTTTCCTCTATAGCATTAAAGCTGGGAACGTGATTCCTTCTCCAGAGAGCAAATTAACAGTTCTATTTTCTTAAAGTTTTCCTATCATTTGATATTTTTGCACTCATTTCCCTATAAATGGGACAAGACTTTCTCCCATTAAATAACTCCTAAGTACAGTATTCTAGTAGAGCTAAAGAACAGTAACTCAGAGGCTTCAAGAGAGTGTTCAGGATGTTACCCTGAAGACCTCTGTCGCTCACATGTAATACAAACTCTTTAAAACTGGCTCAGACTTTGGCTGCAATTTCTCTGAAGAAGCAACCTAAATGCTCCGGAGTCATCACAGTTCCCACCCTGCTTATACCCTATGAAAACCTGGAAACTCTGAGCCTGCTTCTTTCCCCTTGAATCTTGCTCAAAGTTAAACCAGGTCCTGCTCACATCCCAGAGTTATGCCTCCTCGGAGGACTGGGGTCTGTTTCTTATTTAACCAGTCTCCAAAGAATGTGATTGCTTCATCTTTTGCCATTTAAGCCAATCCCAGTTCCTTTCCTGCCACTGCAATCTCAGGATGAGATGGGGCAGGTGAGATGGGTTAAGAACCGGGTCTCGTAGCCTGGGGGTTCCAGAGAGCCACTCCCTTCGGAGAGAAGTGGAGCAGGTCTGCAGCTCAGCCTGCAAAAGTCCAGGACGCGTGAGGGCATGGGACCCCTGGGATCTCCCAGAGCCAGGCACCTGGGCCCCAGAGCACCGGCGCTCTGCTCTGGGGAGTCCTAGAAAGATGACTCCCATCGACCCTCAGGCATGGCTTTGGGAAGAGCAGGAATAATCAGGGGTCTGAACTGAAGTGTCAACCAGCTTCCTAGGCTCTCTGCCCTTCCATCTTCTTTCTAAAATAAACGGGATTATTTTTCCATCTCACCCCACCTTCAGAATGCTGGCTGATCACTGCAAATACTTTAGCGGGCACACTCTGCACCCACGCCCCACATCGCTGTGTCGGGCTCGGGGTGAGCAGGAGAGGGAGAATGGAACCGAGGGCAGTGGCCCCTCATCCAAGACATGAGACAGTTGTGCCCAATCTCTTGCCAGGTGCAGAGGACAAACAAGACATTTAGTCAGTGGCAGAAAAGTCAGTTGAATGACATTATATTTCCAAAGTAATACATGCTAAGATTTCCTTTGAGCCCCAAGTTCACTGAGGGCAGAGATTCTAGAATTCATTTCCAAAGGCTTCACGATGAATAAAAGCCAGAATTTCAGACGGATCTCTGAAGGGAAGAAAGCTATCGTTACTATTATCGATAATGGGATGCCAAGCACACGTAGTGCAATTTAAACCGTTCCAAGTGCTTTCTCCCCCACTCTCTCACTTGATTCCTGTCCCCATTTGACAAACGAGAAAAACTAAATCCCAGAGAGGTGGAATGACTACACTGAACTCCCACAGCTAGTTAGCAGGAGAACCCTGGCTCCTGTCTGCTTGGCCTCAGGCCGTCGGCACTCAACAAGGAAGGAAAACATAATGAGACTTGGCTGAAATGTTCATCACTTAATCTTGGACCAAACCAGCAGCCCCGCCCCTGCATGTCACAGACCTTGCCGAAGCTGCCTTTGCCCAACACCTTGATGAAGGTGAACTCATCCAGGCCCAAGCGCTTGGCCTGGCCTTGCCGGACTTCACCATTCTCGCCCGGGCTCGCCAGCTGGCCGTCGGTGGATGCTGCTGCCCTGTGCTCCTCCCCTCGGTTGTCAAATGACAAGGCCTTCCGGATGTTGTTTTCAAGTTCTTTTATTTCTAGGGCCAAGGGTGACAAGATACTGAATTAGCGCATACCTCAAGAGCCCTTCCCATTAGGATTTAATACTCAGAATTTACCCCCATGAGCTCTCAACCCTCTTTCTGGTTCTTCACAGCAGCAGACCCAGTGGGGCATCCCTTTACGCGCCCTTCATTTGCTCTGCACACTTTCCTTGGCACCTAACGTACAGCAAGGCCTAGGCATGCAAAGAGGAGGCCGTCCCCGCCAACCAACTCCTTCAGATCCCTCCTTTTACTCTGGGACCAGGTCACCTCTCCGAAAGCCCCCTTCAACCAGTAGCCTATTTATTCCATTATTCTAGGAGTGATGGAGGAATCCTGGCCTTCTCTGGAACCTCGCAGAGTCCCAAAGGCAACAGGTACCCTTCCAGTTTCCTTTGAAAATTAGAACAATGACTAATGGAGAACCATTGTTACAGTAATTATTGGTGAGGTAATTATTTCAACAGCTGGGACTAAGAAGCCTTTACCTTCTAAGGGACTTTATTTGGCCTTGTTGCTGGGTTTATTCTAAATACCCATCTTACACAAGGTTATTTAACAAAATGAGCGATGGGCTCACCATTACCAAAATAACTGCTTCCCAAGAGTGACATGCTGCCAATTTATCTAGGACGGGACAGGGATTCCTCAGAACAATTTCACAACTGTGACACAGCCTCGTGCCCCTCCAGAGTATGTGACCTGAATTAACCTGGGAATGATAAGGCTGGATGATCCTTTGACCTTTTCTATTTGAGGAAGCTTTATTGTTAGCTATATATTCACCAAGACGTACACTCCTCTGTGTAGGAATGGGCATCTTAAGCATAACCCACTTTTAAAAGATGCTCGTGAATAACTGGGATCACAGGAGGGGAACACAAACTACTGACCCTTGGGAATCAGAATCACGCATCAGTGACCACGTGCTGCTTGACATAAAGACAACTTTGGCTTCTTTTCAGAAGGACTGAGGCCCATGAGAGCTCACTCCAGGAACCTGGAGATCTTCCTTGGATCTGGAGTTTGACTACTCTGAGATGTGTCGGGGCAGGGTAGAGGGCAGGGGTGAAGACAGCTTCCGAGTCTACAGATATGCCCACACCAATTCTGCAGTTTTCTATCTCTTACTCTTAACTAAGTATAACTTCTGGTCTCAGCACAGAGCTTCTCAGCCTAACTTCCAAGGCAAGTTAATAAATGGATTTTGGAAGACAGAACTTGGATGCTCGGGGATATCAAAACTTGAAGAAAATGTCTTTCTATGTTTTCTTACAACAGAGGGAAAGAGGAATAGTGCCTTATTTCTGCTCTGCAATAATGCCATGTCTTGCTAAGAGGGTTTTCACGTCCCTTTGTGCTCACAACGCTGCTGGGAAATGCCGTACTTGCACTGACTGGGGCCAAAGAGAGGTCCTGAGGGGCACGGTGTCCTGCCAAGGCTGGACAGCACTCTGGGCAGGGACCAGGCCTAGAAAGCCGGGCACCCCATCCCTTACTTGGGGGTCTCTTTACCATATGACCCTGTCTCCTTGAAGCTCTCAAAGGAGCTCTCAGCATTAAAAAAGGGAAACACGAAGATACCCACACCGGGCCGGGATAGTACCTGCTTGCTTGGAGGCCCCAGAGTGCCGTCAGCTTACTAACAGATGGGTCAAACGTCTTTTGAAATGAAGCAGAGTATAAAGATGCAGAAAGTAAACCAGAGCAGCATGAAGAGGCACTCAGACCAATTATTTTGTGGCCTCAGGACTGGCATACCCCCTTGCAGCTGTTTTATTTACTCCTAGGTAGGGGCTAGGGTCACTCCAAGGGCTGGGTCACAGTGATGACCCCCGGGGGGTGTTCGATGGCATGGATTCTGAGAATGGGGTCCCTATGCCAGGGGGGGCGCAGTCTCACCCTTACCACTGACTTAGTTCCTGACCTTTGGACAAACCTTTTCAACTCTCTGCCTTCCACTTCCCACCCTGTAACCTGGGGACAGTAAGGGAGCATGGACAAGAGAGTCGGCGTGAGCATAAAATAAGGATAAGGAAGACGAAGGAAAAGGGGCTACAGAACATCAAGGCGCTACTGTTATGATTCATTAATGATGGTGAATGTTCTGCCGATGCAAAAATCCCTTCCCAGTGAGATCTGGTTCCGGTCACCAGAGGGGAAGGTCTTAAACGTATGCGTGCCTCCTCAGCCCCGGCATCCTTGGAGGAAACCTCTGATGACTTTCAGCACATTCTGACAGGGAAGGAAACGTCCTGAGCTGAGCTCTAGAGGGGAGGCAGTCCTAGAGCTGGCTTCCTCCCCACTGCTTCTCTCAGGGGCTTGCCAGCTTCACCTTCCTATCCCCACCCACCCACGTGGTAGATGCCCTCCCCCACCCATCCCCCGACTCCTGCCCTGTTCTCAGGTTTCGGGGTACCTTGATGAGAGTCAGGGAGGAAGGAAGTCAGACTCAACTGAGCAGCGCTGACGGGCCTGGGAGCAGACGCTGGGCAGCGGGGTAAGAGAAGGGCTTCGCCCTCTCCTGAACGTGGAACCAGGGAGAGGCAAAAGACAAAAAAAACGAACCACAGCACCCCAGTTCGCTCTCTCTCACCCTGCCTGGGGGGGATTTCAGGCTGGCACAGCCGTTTAGTGCCTCACCCTCAAGAAAGCCTTGTAGAGGGAAAGCACAGCTAAGGAGTCAGCTGGGAAAGGTCACCTGGAGACCCTCCAGGGCTGCTGGCTGGCTGTTTGTGCTCGCAAGGCCATGCTTGGATGAAGAGGCCTTGGGCTCCCTCGTCCTTCCAAGGACAGAGCTCAGAGGTAAAGAAGCAAATCTGAGTCTCACCTTGGTCACAAGGGGAGGTGGGGGCCGACCTCGATCGATCTTCCTCAGACGGTGAGCTTCCAGAGGCAGGCTGCGGGGACTCAGCACCAGCAATGAGCTAGACAGAGGGAGAGAACGAGGGCAGAGAGGGATCAGAAGGGAGCGCAGGGAGTTTCCCTGAGGTCAAAAGCATCAAGAAACGATGCCAGGGGCCCTAGGAGTCCCTGGCGCACAGCAGCAGTTGCTGAATTGACAGTTTGAAGGCAGAGACTCAAGGTTTCATTTGCCAATTAAAGGGAAAAAAACAAGAGACGTCAGTTTGATTTTTATTCTATCCAAATACAGCTGACCTTTCCAGGCGAAGCCCAACCTCACCCCTTCCATGAAACCTCCTTGCCTACCCAAGAAACGCAAGTTACCTCATCCAGAGCAACTTGACACCTGCCTCTAACAGCTGCTTTGCCATCTATTCATTGCTTTGTTCAGCTTCATTTAGTTTTTGGGGCTGGCTACTCAGGTAGACTGTAGGTTCTTTGAAAGTAAGACCCTATCTAGTATTTGTACTGCCCCTGGTGACTGCAGAGAGTGATAACACATAACAGAAGCTCAATAAACATCTTCAGGTGTATCGGTATTTGTCGGCAATTGGCAAATTTTAGCAGGACACCCCCAGTGAAGTCTGTTTCCTGGCATAGATGCTGGCATATCCATTTTAAGTTCCCACTTAAGTCAGAGGTTTAGACTCAGAGACTGCAAGCCCTCCTGCTCCCTTTTACTCTTGATCTACCTGCTGTGCACACACGTTCTTTCTGGATGATGGACTACTTGCAAGGGGCAAACGTTAAGGGAACCAACACTCTAGCAAGCCTGACGCTCCTGCAAAGAAGCCCTTTAAGCGTCTGGCCAAGGGCACCTGCCTCCCATCCTCTCGTACTAACTTGAGCTACTATTTGGTTCACTTGACTTTTTCCAGCTTTTGCATTAGAAGCATCAAAGCAATAAAAATATCAGGACTGAAGCCCTTTAGTCTTTGACTTTGTTCCTTCCTGAATTTCTCCATGTTGGCTTCTTACCTCCAGGATCTCCCAAATCCAGGACAGACAGACAATGCCTGGCTACTGCCATTATGGCCCATGTAAATACAGGGGAGGGGGCAGGTACTGAGTTTTCTCTGAAGTGTTTCATGACAATAAGGATTCTGCCTCAGCTTACTTCTAGCAAGAAACAAAATCATGTCCCCTGAACAGGGCTCCCTGTAGAGCTCATAGATGTGTGTGTTCAACGCTGTCATCACAGGCTGTTCGTCTAACCCGCCTCCTCGGTGGAGCCCCAGTATTCTGGGTGCTGACATTCTGCTTGCAACTCCAACGTCTTGGGTCAATAACTGAAGCCCTGTTTCCACCAGGGGGACGGACAGAGCTGAGAAGAGCCACCAGAGCACAAAATCTCACAGTTGACGGGAGAAGAGAATGTTTTTTTCCTCCAATCCTTAAAAAGCTGCTTTGTTGATTGGAAAGGTAAGGAAGGAGGTTAAGAAGATGGAAACAATCCAAACCTTCCCATTTCAGGGAAAAGGCTCCTCTGAGACGCAGCAGGGGAAACGCGTGGGCAGCTTCTAAAATGCCCTTCGGAAGGCATTTCAAGCGAAACTTCAGGGACATTTAGGAGTCAAGTTGTAGAGGCGCCCAGAGTCAGGCTTGTTTTCTAGTTTAAAAAAAAAAAAAAACAATGCCCAATACCGGGCAACAAGGGCCACCCACCCCCACCAGGATTTCTTGCCCAGTTAACATGGTTCCAATTTTCTCATAACTTAGTCTTTCAGAGAATTCTTACATTTTCTAGGCTAGGATCCAAGGCTAAGAAGGGCCTTCAAACAAAATGCTATGGATACCTTTAGCTCTATTTACATCTGTGGGCCCTGACTTACCAAAATAACATTTTAGCAAATGGATCTCTTCCTACTGACATTCAGAATGTTACACGGATAGAGACAGGGCTTTGGTCTCCAAAGACAGGCCCAGATGTTTCATGTCGCGGGACATAACAATATTCCTCGGGCAGCCGGGTGCCGGCACTAACACAAATCTTCTTGGCTTGCTTCCTAGAAAAGAATGTGGTTCCAGCTCTTCATCCATTTATCCTCATTAAAGTGATACCAGAGGCAAAGTCTGAGCACTGACATTGCTTTCATGCCAGTCCTGGAGGCAGATAAGTCTATTTCCCTGTCTAGAGTCGAGTCTTTTCTGGAGGGAATTCCAGAGTCCTCATCTTGAAGCTGATGTTCCCCTAAGAAACAGCACACCTGAGACTTGCTTAGCTTTTCCCCACCTCTGGAACCGAAGGAGACTTTCATGTTACCTGCCTGACCTTTTCTTTTTTCTTTTTTCTTGAAGCACGTGCTGCTTCAAGTCCAGTGTCTCAAACCCAGCAGTCTCAGAACTTCACTCCAAGTGACTCTCCGGAAGCCAACACAGAGATGCTGGCTCACAAAGAGCTCCAGAAACACCACCAAAGAGCCAGTTACCTTTTTCCTCCTCTGGCCACTGTTGGTGATTTTGTCTGGAGTGACGCCCAGGTCAGCCAGCACTTTGGCAATGCCCCTGGCGTCCACGCCACAGTTGGGAGCCACGTTGGTCTCGCAGCGCCGGTGAACGTTCATCTTGCAGACTGTAAGGAAGCACAGAGGAGAGGCTTCCAAATGGTCATAGCCTAAAACATTCCCTTATTTTGTGCTGGTTGTAAAAGGAACACATGTTCATTTGTCAGAATTTGGAAAATGGAGAAAGACAAAAAAAGAAAAATGAAAGATCACCCATCATCCCCTCACATAGAACTAAAATCATCCATCAAACCACCATACGGAGATAACCAGTTTATGGATAAATAAAAACCACACTGAAATTTCCTTTCAGGGAGCAGAACACTGACCATAGAACTTAACTGGTTTCTCTGAAGAAAGTTCATTTGGATGCTGAACCCAAATGGGTCCCCGGTACACAGTTCACTCTATTACTCTGCTGAAATGTGGGAATACTCCCGAGAGAGGAACGCCCACAGTACAGCCTATCAAGATGCTCATCTGAAAACAAGGAGACTGAATGAGGTGATCTCCAAGGCCCCTTTCAAATCCAAAATCTGGGTTCAAAGGGACAAAGGCCATGCTTGAATGTCTTTGTTTTGTCCACATCACTTCTCTGTCCTTGGTGTAGGACATCAAAGGCGAAGACGTAAACTGTTTGGGTTTCCAGTCCAGCACATAAGGAGCTTGGAAGTTGTTGCTCTGCCCTAATGAGTAAAAAGCTGAACAAACTGGAAAATCAACAACTCTTCTTAAGATTTATCAGCGAAGTAAGGTCACAGGGCAAACCACTGCCCTGAGGGAGAGACAGACAGGTAACTATATGAATCACAACTTAGTGGAGCAGAAACTCCCGAGCAGCAACCCCGTGGAAACCAGTGCAGGGTAGGGAAGCTGGCACTGAAATTGGCGAACTGCTGGGGTCCCAGAGTGGACAAGTCTGAGAGTCAAAGACTCTAGGCTGACCCCGTCATAGGGGTCCCCACACTTTGGGAGCTTTACCTCTAATTGTCTGACCAGGTTTCTCACAGTGAACATTGGAGAAAAATTCCCTCCTGCTTATGACAGGGGGAGAGGGAAAGGATTTTGAAATACACCAGAGCACCCTGTTCTTAACAAGGCCTATTCTCAGGAGAAGCTATTTTGCCAGAGACTAAACTATTGTAGTTTTATCAGATCCTAAGCAACCTGGGGGAAGGGAAATACCCAACTCCAGCCCATGCTAGCTATCCTGTCCCACATAAGGTGGAGGGGTGGGGGACCCTGAGAAACATGTGTAAGGCTCATAGTTCAGAGGCACAGGCTCACAGAAAGACTGAGATCAAATCACAGGAATACAGAATGCTTCCCCTCCCCCAACACCTTAGCACCATGTTACTAAAGGCCTTTTATTGCAGTTCCTGTTACCCAACACATCACGTCTGACTATCAAAAAAAAAAAAAAAAAAATTACAAGGCATACTAAAAGGCAAAAAACAGTTTGAAGAGACAGGGCAAGCAGCAGAACCAGACTGAGACATGGCAGGGATGTTAGAATAACCAGACCAGGAATTTAAAACAACTATGATTGATATGCTACGGGCTCTAATCAATAAAGCAGACAGCATGTAAGAACAGACGGGCAGAGAGATGGAAATTCTAAGAAAGAGTCCAAAGGAAATGCTGGAACTCAGAAACACCGCAACAGAAACGAGGAAGGTCACTGACGGGCCCATTAGTAGGATGGACATAACTGAGAAAAGAATCTCTGAGCCTGAGGATATGTCAATAGAAACTTCCAAAACAGAAAAGCAAGGGAAACATACTGGAAAAAAAAAAAAAAGGAACAGAATATCTAATAAATGTGGAATGATTACAAAAGATGTAACATATGTGTATGGGAATACTAGAAGGAGAAAAAAGGGAGAAATGAACAAAAGAAATATTTGAAGCAAAAACGACTGAGTGTGTCCTCAAATTAAAGTCAGACACCGAACCGCAGACCCAGTAAGCTTAGAGAACACCAAGCAGGATAAATGACAAAAATCAAAACCAATAACAAACTACACCTAGGCATATCATATACAAGCTGCATAAAATCAGAGGTAAAGAAAAATAATCCTGAAAGAAACCAGAAGGAAGTAACATCTTACCTACAGAGAAGCAAAGATAAGAATTACATCTGACTTCTCAGAAACCACATAAGCAAGAAGAGAGTAGACTGAAACGCTTAAAGTACTGAGAGGGGAAAAAAATGCAGAGTTCTGTAGCCTGTGAAATTATCCTTCACAAGTGAAGGAGAAATAAAGACTTTCTCAGACAAATAAAAATTGAGGGAATTTGCTGCCAATAGACCTGCCTTGCAAGAAATGTTAAAAGAAGTTCTTCAGGCAGAAGGGGAGAGGCAGCATGTGGAAAGGAGGGCCTCTGGAGTGTGGAGCTCCTGAGTTTGGAGGCTATTAGCAAAAGATGGTGGGTCGCTTGGCAAACAGTGAAGCAAATACTAGACGTAAAAATATAGTAGAAAACTGTTTTGGAGCAGCTGGCCAACCCTTAACTATACCTGGACGGGTTCTTACTGGAGAAGGAGCATTGACTAAGTTGTGCAGAAAAAAGCCTAAAGCAAGGCAGTTTTTCTAATTTAATGATATTCTTGTGTATGGCAATACTGCCATCCAGAAGAAAAAATATAACAAACAACGTATTATTCCCCTGGAAAATGTCACAATTGATTCTCTCACAGATGAGGGAGACTTGAGGAATGGATGGCTGATCAAGACACCAACTAAATCATCTGCAGTTTATTCTGCCACTGCCACTGAGAAATCTGAATGGATGAATCACATAGATAAATGTGTTACTGATTTGCTCTCCAAAAGCGGGAAGACACCCAGTACGAACATGCTGCTGTCTGGGTTCCTGACTCTGAGGCAACTGTACGTATGCATTGTCAGACAGCAAAATTCACACCTGTTAAGCGTCGTCACCACTGCCGCAAATGTGGTTTTGTTGTCTGTGGGCCCTGCTCTGAAGAGACTTCTTCCCAGCCAGTCCTCTAAGCCTGTGAAGATTTGTGACTTCTACTATGACCTGCTTTCTACTGGGGACATGGCCAGGTGACAGCCTACTAGATCAGACTCTTACAGTCAGTCATTGAAGTCTCCTTTAAATGATGTATCTGATGATGATGACGACGATGATAGCAGTGACTAAGGGAATATTTTGAAATATTTAATCGGACGTGACTATCTGAGAAATCAGCTTTGGGGGGAATGTAAAATCCTGAGCTTTCTGTCAGTTTTGCTCTAGCAATGAATTTGCCTGAGAAACTTTTAACCTATGTGCCTCAATATATTCTACAGAACATAGGTCCTGTTACCATCCCCCAAACCCAACTGCTGCTGCCACTGTCTCCTCACCTCCCCCAGCTCCCTATTCTTCTATAGGGACAGACTATTGTGAATATATCAGAAAAGTTTTTGGTTTCTTATTCTTGTTTTAATTCTACACTATTTTCTTGAATGGTTGGGAAAAGATGTTTATTTAACATATCATGTACTATACTGTTGTTTATTATATGTTCTGTAATATGGAGAACCTAAAAGCAAAGAATGATGGAAAAGGAGTATGATGTGGTTAGCTAATAACGTTATTAGCTTTTTTCTAACCATCCTATCTAAAGGTTAAGACACCAGTAACAGAAATACATGCTTTGGAAATACTTTGTTTGGCTTTTTCATATACCAGGTGGTGCCTTATCATAACAGCACTGTTGCATGTAATAAGCCCCTACCTTCTCACTTTTCAGTTTGTCTTAAAAATACACTGGTGCAGGGCTTCCCTGGTGGCGCAGTGGTTGAGAGTCCACCTGCTGGTGCAGGGGACACGGGTTCGTGCCCGGTCCGG